GGTCTTTGCATTCTTTGATCTAGGTAGACTTTATCCGGGATGTTTTCTCCTTCCGATGTTATCACCGCCACTGGCAATGGATGCCGTTTTGAGCCCAGTCTCTCTGCTTGGTTGATGTTGACATTGGGGTTTTCTTTCCTTATTTGTTGCAGAATTTCATCGTTGCTCCATTGCAGGTTGACTCTTCGGATCTCCCAGCGTCTTACATTCTGGAAGATGGTGGCCGTTACAGTTATCTCCTCGGATAGTCGGAGTTCTTTCTTGCCGTCGTGTTGGATGTCATCCAGCATGTCTGAGGTGCGGTTGGTTCTGTTTAGTGAAGCTATCACTCCTTCTCGAGTTCTCCTAATCTTTGCGACTGCCCTCTTGCCTAACATGATCTCTAGCATATTGATCAATGTTAGCGTTGCCAGTGTAGTGATTGCTGTCCGGCCCGTTTGGTCTGTCGTAGAAATATTGTGGCAGGAAATTCATAGCTGCCTGTCTTTCGTCGATCTGGAGATGTTTGTGGACTTGGCTGTGTTGGTTCAGGTGACGCTGGGACGTCACTCAGGGCCTCACTGGTAGTAGGGGCGTCTTCCTGTGGTTCGGTAGTATCTGTCTGCGTCTTCCTGGCCTCCGAGTTAGATCGGGTAGATCTGTCAGTGGGCTGTTTCCTCTGTCCGTTGCGCTTTCCGTTAGGTTTGTTTTTCCGAGACATGGTGCTTGCGGAGAAGGCCTCTCGCTCTGGCAAATACTTTGTATTGTGTTATGTAAGTTTCAGTCCTATCTGGTGATAATTGCGGAGAAGTCCTCTCGCTCTGCCTATCCTCAAAGGGACCAGCAGGTACTGTATTGTGCAGGTATCAATATCTGATGACAATTGCGGAGAAGTCCTCTCGCTCTGCCTATCCTCCAAGGGACCAGCATATACAGTATTGTGCAGGTATCAATACTATCTGATGATTGGCTGATAAGGTGGAGCCGAAGCTGCTTGTGCTTGCAGCAAAACGAATGATAAGAGTTATTATGGACAGATTTTGCAAATATATTTTGTCTGAGCGAAATTTTTTTTCTGGCAGCTCCAGACTGCACAGCCATAGTCACTAGCCTAGACATGAATATAGAGTCATGTTTGCTATAATGTTTTTAGGTACGTGTCTCTCCACAGCACTAACGTCATCGCTCCTGTCCAGAGCGGGACAGGCCATAGTAACCGCCGTGTCCAGCAGATGTTTGCAAGCTCGTTGTCTCGAACACCTGCATTGCACGGCATAAATACAACAGTTTGACACGTCAGTCACGGCGCATTAAATGAGACAGTATCTTATCTGATGGACGCTCTCTTAAATTTCTTAAGCATGTTCTTCAAGTCAATCAGTGTGCACGCATGCATACATTGTTATTTGCCCAGCTATGCCAGTGGCTTCAATAGTTCCCATTGTTAGGCTGTTTGTTGTAACGGTAAAGGCACTTGTCTCCTAAATAGTGTCCCCCTCCCCCACCACCCCACGAGCTTACCGTGAACACATACAATCTGCTCGGCCCAAGCGCTGATGAATCTGTATAAACTACAGTATCGTCTTCATCAGTGTGTTCTTTAACCAGCGTTTCGACCACTGCGCCTATTTAACCAAGAAGAGCAACAGGTAGCTGCACTCGTTATTTATCCATGTTTATTATGTAATACGGCAGACTTATTGGAAGGCATCCTTGGCAGAACAGATTCACGATTTACCTCTTTCAAATCGATTCTTTTTAAGTTTGAACAATTCCTCGTGAACGGCGGTCACTGGCTTGTCTTCACAGTTGGTCCTGGATGTTTTGATTCTGTTATCCACAGTGTGAAAGTTTAAGTGGCGTTTTCTCGACTGGCGAAAGGTATCACTAGTGCACTCAAGAATAACGCCCACGGCTTCATGTAAATGTTTGGTAGTCTGTTTGTATCTGTGTGCGTTGAGTGCAGTGATGGTCAGCGCATCGTCAAAGATACGTGTTTAGTATTGAGCTAAGACCTAGCACCACAACACGCGGAACATTCCCATAGTCTCCCCGGCTTTATTTTCAGCTGCCAGCCAAATGTTCCAGGTCTAATGGTTCCAAAACCAGTTTGATTTATGTCTGTCTTGCCTTTTATCTGTGTGTAGAGTATCGATCAGATCTCTGGTCCGTCCTAGCTGTACCATTCTTTCCAGACCATAATATCTATGTGAGTGTCCTCACTGTTAATGTGTTTCAAAGGGCCCATATCTAGCTTGTAATGCATAAATGCAGGGTTCATTTGTGCAGAATCAGCTAGTGTGTCTGCCTATTCATTTACTGACACTCTTGTATGACCAGGAGAAAATATTCAAAGGAATAGAAGGGCAGGCAACCCAAGCATGAATAGAGCAAACCCCTGCACTAGTAGCCGATGTTCAAAACTTTTATCTGCCATAGTTTAATTTAAAAAAAAAAAAAATATTTGGGGGGGGGGGGGGGGGGGGGGTGCTAATATACAATTTCAGGTGTGCTACATTTTTTTTCAATTTCTATGAAAATTCCTACTACTAATTGTAGGCTGCATCGATCTGTCATGTGACTGGAAGTTAATTAACATCTGGTGCAAAGTGTTAAACAACGTCCGCTAAACATAATACTATCTTAAAATAGAAAACGTTAGTAGAGGTCTACCCAAACACCAGGAATTCGTCATTTTATGCCATCAGTTAACCTATTACCACATGAGACAATCTCCATCAGCATAAAGAAACAACTAATATTAAACAAATTTGTTCTCACTTCATGCTAAATGCCAGTCAAGATCACTCACAGCAATTCATACTAGAAAATGAGTAACTATGGAAATAGGATGTCTGTGATCGGCAGCAATGATCAAATGTGATAAAATCAGGAATGAGGTCTTATGAGAAAACAGCTTCGGATAAAAAGATACAATCCCGAGTTGAAGGAATATATAATATGATTGGATAGTTGTTGGTTTCTTCTTAGTGTTTTGTGGAGGTTCTAGCTTCTAGTGAGGGTCTAAACATGTTGAAGTAAACACCCTGACCGCTGGTTTTCTTCGGCTAATTAATATATGGCAAGGCGCGGATATTACCCGGTTTGTTTTTATGTGTTACAAACATGAAGATGGTCCCTAGTCAATGATTGCCCTAAAATCAGTCCACTGCCTGCCGAGCATGCCGTGTGTTAGGCTTGAACATCTCAAGTAAAAACTGACCCGTTGGAGCTGGTGGTCTTTTATAGCTCTAGAGCTAGTAGCTGCGTCAGCCTTTACTGCCTATACACGGTGACTCCTGTTCACCGTCTTAGGAAGGTCCTGCCTTGTCCCGCAGAGAGAGATGACACCCTCCTTGAAGATTTCAGTTGGGCACAAGAAGGGCCGGAGGAGAAATAACTGTGCCATAATTACACCGTTGACTGCCAGTGGGCCACCTAAACCTGTCAGGCTGTATCCAAGAGTGTTACTGACAATGACTCAATAGGCATTTGTAATACTGATGTATAAATATGCCTATGGTCCAATTGTTTAATGTTAGGGTGGAGATGATCGGTGTATTCTTCCTATTAGATGAATAGCAATAACATGATACTTTAGTAGTACACGTGTAAGCAGTCAGAACACTCAGAATAAATGAAACAAATTCGAAACCTCTAATGACCTCTAAACGATAGCAAGAGCTTACACATATACTACAGAAGTGTCAGTATACTGTCGGTCGGCAGGACTAGATTTGACATGTGCCAGCATTGTTATACGGCAGTAAGTTCCACCTACACAAAAATCCCCACAAGATAATTTGCTTTTTGCAATTATAACTGTATTCTGGGACAAGTAATTATATATATTTATAGACCTCAGCCACAAATAGTTCGACTCGTAATCCAACATACTGCGATCGAAACCCACTGCTGGCTGCGTGGATTTTTATCATGGTAGGGGCGTCGCAGGTCGACCAAGCCTAAAATGGGTACCAGGATGGATGTTCTGGGGAAGTAAAGACGGCCAGCGTTATGCTGACCACATTACCCATCCAGTGCCGATTGGTCTGTAAAAATATGGGACGCTCTTCCCATATCCCGATGCGCTTAAGGCGTGAAAAGGAATCTTTACCTTACTTGTCAGCCACAAATGAAGTCTAATGGCAATAATGAATTAATGAAGATAGTGTTCTTTTATCACTATGTGACTGTACCACGATAGTCTGCATGAGATATGAGAGATTTAGCATAGGATTGCAAGGTCTGCTAGAGTAGTCCTACTGACGTATATGATATCTGCCGTCTTAGCCTCATATAGTCGCAGGGGTAGGGTAGGGAGAATGTGAAAGATGTTCCAGGACAGTCACATGATGCTTTGCGAGGTACTGCTTCACCACTATAGATCGATGCGATGTTGAATTGTCATGCAGCAAAGACCCACCGTTTTTTCTCCATATTTCAGGACAAGTCCTTTTGACTTCATCTCTTGGACCACGAAGGGGGGCAACGTACATTTCTTGTTTAAATATTCTGCTTTCGGGAATGGAATTATAGTTAAGAATAGCCTGGTAGACTGCCTTTGCGGAAATGCTTGTGCCACTCAAAAACTGTGCGATTTTTTTTCTTTCGGTATCACTGTATGCTTTATTAGGCAAATTTAGTATTTATGAGAGTGACTTCTCAAGCAAAACACACAATTTGCCATATGCGCGCTGCTCAGCCAATAACATTTTTAACTGTGACGATGCTATGGGCACTAGACACAAACAAACTTCTGTTCTAGAATAGATCATCACGTCTGCCCTGTCCATTCATCAAAGTAACCACCAATTTCTGAAACTTTGAAAGCTATTCATGACTACAAAATCAAAAATGAGTAAACTTTTCAGGAAACTTTTTGAAGCAATCTTGTATATCATCTGAGGTTTGTAATTCTGGTTAATTATCGACATTAAATGACAGAAACCAGTTAGATAAGTGTTGCCGTCACTTTATGCTGCTGTTATTCTGTGAGATGGCTAGGCTACGGTACCTACCTGATGGTTATAATTTGTCCAAAGTTCATGTCTCGGTTGTTGACTTGGGCGATAAAGAGAGCCGCCACTGCCTCGTACAGTGCAGTGCCATCCATGTTAATGGTGGCGCCCACGGGGATGACGAACGAGGCAACTCGTGTGTCCACGTGATTGTTGTGTTCCAGGCACCTCAGTGTCACAGGCATTGTCGCTGAGCTGTCAATGATAGGATGATCAGTTACAAATAATCAAATGGCAAATATTGCGTTGAGGATGTGTTTGGCCTTCATACATTCTAGACCATGACATTTATATCATCTTTCTGGATCTCTTCCTTGTCGCCTTTTCTTCATTGACAATTGCCTGCACAATTCGGGAAATTAGCCGGTAACTCTTTTCATTATGCTACGTGCATCAGTGCTAGTATTTGGCGGTTAAGGACGCTTTAAGAAATCCTCTCGTCTGGCCTCCATCAAATGTGTAGATTAGCTAAGCGGCCTCAATAATCAAATTATGAGATGTTTTCAGTATGTTTATACATTTTCTCAATTTGCTTATTAAAATTTAGCTTAAATTTGTCTGTATAAACAAAGCCTTGAAATGCTGATGGTGAGTTTAGTTAAAAAAAACCTAATGAAATATCTACAACCAATCTCGAATGTAACAAGAAGAGACAGGATAAGAAACAACAGTATCATTAAACAGCTGGGGACGGGACCAGGGTAATTATCTGAAGTGACAGTAAGTCAGCTGGTCCAGAAATGAGTCAAGACTGGCACAAGACAGTGCAGAACAGAGAGCCCTTTTATTTAGATACAGATGCACACGCAACACTCAGGTTCTGGAACAGGACTGCAGTCCAGAAGTGGACGAACAACCAGAACTTTCCACCGGAGTTTACAGCCGGTGAATGCAAAGAAGAAGAAGAAAATCTGAACTGATACGAAAGAAAAGAATAAGAATGTAAGTAAATATAATGTTTACAATTGTGATATTATGTTATATAGGTTACCCTTTTACTACTTTCATTAAATGTAATACAATATTTTAGGCGCCCCGTGCTATTTGCTCTACAACGGTATCCCTGATTACATTGGAGTAATGAATTCAAAGTAGCCAAGAAAACAGTGGCAGTGACACCTTACCTGGATGACGTTCCAAACGCTGTGGCCAAGGCTTGTGATATCCCATAAATGAAAGTATATGGATTTTTCCTGACAGTGATGAAGTAAAGGAAGGGAAGAACGATGGAGCCGTGTATGGCCAGTCCGATGAGGACTGTAATAAAGTACATGCCAACCTTCCCTAGCAAAACTGTGAAATCCTCCATTCCCACAATTTTGGCTGCAATCAAGAAAGCGATGCCAACTGGCGAGTACCTGCATTGGAAGATTACATTGACAACATTTATTACCATGACAATTAATGAACAATTTTAAGTAAAAGTATCTTCATTTATTTGTGTATGTAAAATGTGCAGCTAGATCAAATAAGTCTTTAGTGAAAGATTACACACTGTCTTTAGATCCGTACGACTTCAACAGTCGCCTCGAATTGTGCAGAACGTTGCAGCTCATGGCTAGCCTGGTTCCTGGAAGATAGATCCCAAGTAGGTCTGCGACTCATTACATTTTGAGACACATCGTACGACTGGATGACGGAAACCTTCAAGAGAACTATGGACAAAAAGGAATGAGTAACGTCCATGACGACCATTTTTGTAAATCACAGTGCCCTTGTGCTGCTTACGAGTGATTTCGGAAATGTTTAACTCAGTCGGGAGTTGATTTAGGTTCAGTGGGTCCCGGACAGGATGATCGTCCACCCACAATATGTTTAAGACATTACCTGTATAATTTGAAGGTGTTAGAAATAATGACGTGCTTGTATCAGGTACTGACATCATTTGTACATACAAGGGAAGTGTTGACCTGACATGTGTGCATATCCATTGAAATGTGTCGATGCTTTGTTCTATTGTGACTGATTCATGATAGAAGACATCTCAGTTAACTGATTGTTGACAATATAGACTTTATGACACAACTGTACTGACCTCTCATACCAGTTTGTTGATACCTGACTACAAACTATAAAAAAAGTTACATGTACATCTGTTATCAGGAAGTAACATTTCAGTAGAGGGGTGGATGACAGAGTCTTGGGCAGTTTTGGGACTGTGTATTGTTTGCACTAGTATGACCGATAGGTGACCCACAAAATTCTGAGCCATTGAGGTTTAGTGATGCAGATATCAGCTGCCTCAGTTCATCTTCCTGGTTAGCCTTCTCTTTCCATTTAGTGACACCCCGTGTTGAAAGGTATGTCTAGATAGGTCTATTATCTCTCCATCGTCTAATTGGTCTACGACCATTCAGGTCCATTGCGTACACTGTTTATTTTTATGTTAGTTGTCAATAGTGATTTGAACAGAATATGAATTTCAATAAGGCATCTCACTCTCCTTTCACCGCAGTTTGCCTTTATGATGGGTCGAACGATTTTTCGTCAGACTCTGTTTTCGAAAATGTGTAATAAGGCTTTATCTCTTTCAGTTGTGCTCCAAGCCATTTAAAACACATGGTCTTGTCAACGTTTTATGTATTTTGATGCTGGTTTTGAGAGATAGAGACTTTGACAGTAGCAGATATGGAAGTTTATATACATTTCTTGTTATGGTCATTTTTTTTCTGTCCTTTCTTGACTTGTGTCTAGTCCCATTTTGTGAGCTTCTTCTTTTAAGAGAATCAGGGGTTTCACCGTCTCTATTTCATTTTCTTCAATCATGTCCTTGACATCGGCAAATCCAGGTTCTCCGAAAATACACTCTTCTTTCAATTAAATTTTTTTTTTTCTGCAGGACCAAGTTGAAGAGAAGTGGGGAAAGAGCATCACCTGGCTTTAAACGAGATTATTTATTTGAAAAGGGTCTGACTTTTTGCCCTTATATATTACTACATTACAAGTGTCTTCCATACATAGTTTGGTCATGGTTATTAACGTCTTTCCAAAGTCCTTATTTTATTTCCATAAACTCTTTTTGTGTACACTATCAAATGCATTTTAATAATCGCCCCCCCCCCCCCCCCCCCCCCCCACCCCCCCCCCCCCCCCCAAAAAAAAAAAAAAAATTACATATCTTCTATATTCCTAATTTGCTCTGCTGTTTGCTATTATACCTGATCTGTTGTTAATCATTTCTGTCAGAAACCTGCTTAATAGTCACCCAATATGTCTTCTACATTTGTTTTTAGCCTGAGTAAGCAGTATCGCCGATAGTATGTTATAGTTTGTAGGGTGACTTGATTATGGTTTAAAAAAAATAATTAGGAATATTTTATTACGAAGTATATCTTTGAGTGAGACAGTTGGATCGCCGACGTATCCTCCTTTCACCTAAGAATATATGCAGAACTGGCACATAGAATGTTATAATTTTATACTGTACAGGAAAAATAATGTTAGCAGTAAAGGAAATGAAAAAGTATAGGATTAATATTTTATAGTAATGTGAAACTACATGGACCAGGGGCGGGAAAAAAGTATTATAAGTTCAGGGGAAACTATTTTGTTGTAAAGACACGCAAGGGAAAATTCTCCCCACAGTCAAGGAGTGGCCTGATGCTATCAAAAGAAGCAGAGAGGGCACTAAAAGAATGGGAAGCTGTGAGTCCTAGACTAATAAGAGTGCCATTTAGAATAGCGAAACAAAAGGTGAAAGTCAAAAACAAAATTAAACTAATACGAAACTTAAATTTGTTTATTCTTATGTCAAATGTGTACTGTTGTATGAAGAGGAAACATTCAGAACAAACAAGGCAATTACCAATAAACTACAAGCACTCATTAACTATTGTCTTCGCAGAAAAGAGGGAACTAAATGGTATGTAAGTAAGTAAGTATGATACTAATGTAGAGCCATGGGAGAGATCTAGAGAAGTTCCAATGAAAAAGGAGAAAAAAAAAAGACTTGAGAACAGTATAACTCGAATGCCTTTGCGCTGTAACCACCTAGGCGTAGACATAAAATAAGACTACACACACACAAACAACACACACATAGACACACACACAAACAACACACACACACACACACACAAACAACACACACATAGACACACACACAAACAACACACACACACACACACACAAACAACACACACAAAAATTGAAAGGTGAGCTAGAGAGTGAAGTTAACGGCAAACACATTGGAAAAACTGCATTCGATAGCCAAGGATAGAACAATCTGGCGTATGTAGGTTGAGAGTCTACGCTTTAATTCGGGGGGGGGGGGTGGGGGGGTATTAAAAGTAGAAGAAGAGAAAGAGAGTTTGTAATGTAAGTTGACCTTCATGGGCGCTGCTGAATCAATCTAATAGTGAACAATTATGTAGAAGGTACAAAGATGTGGTTTTAAAGCCGAATAATAAGAACATCCCGGACAGATTCAAAAGTGTAAAGATCTGGCTGCACCTGAAGCAAAGAGCTGACACGGTGCCCTCTGTCGCGCTGAGCATTTCTGTCGGAACATAAGTAGAACCAAGATAAAAGTTCTTTAAGGATCAGTTCCGGTTTGCCAAAGGCTTTTTTTCTTCTTCCTTTCCTATCAGGGACATCCGCTGTCGGCAAAGAGCAACTGGAGTCACATCTGATGAGACGTACTCTGACTGAAACAAAGACTGTTCCTCTCAGTGACAGCGAGGTGACTTTCATAAAACTGAGTATAATACTAGTCAGACAGACAGGCACGCAGACAAGCAGACATACATATAGATAGATAAATAGAAAGACAGACAGACAGACAGACAGACAGACAGACAGACAGACAGACAGACAGACAGACAGACAGACAGACAGACAGACAGACAGACAGACAGACAGACAGACAGACAGACAGACAGACAGACAGACAGACAGACAGACAGACAGACAGACAGACAGACAGACAGACAGACAGACAGACAGACAGACAGACAGACAGACAGACAGACAGACAGACAGACAGAAAGACAGGACAGACAGACAGACAGGACAGACAGACAGACAGACAGACAGACAGATAGATAGATAGATAGATAGATAGATAGATAGATAGATAGATAGATAGATAGATAGATAGATAGATAGATAGATAGATAGATAGATAGATAGATAGATAGATAGATAGATAGATAGATAGATAGATAGATAGATAGATAGATAGATAGATAGATAGATAGATAGATAGATAGATAGATAGATAGATAGAAAGATAGATAGATAGATAGATAGATAGATAGATAGATAGATAGATAGATAGATAGATAGATAGATAGATAGATAGATAGATAGATAGATAGATAGATAGATAGATAGATAGATAGATAGCTTTTTTTCTTCTTCCTTTCCTATCAGGGACATCCGCTGTCGGCAAAGAGCAACTGGAGTCACATCTGATGAGACGTACTCTGACTGAAACAAAGACTGTTCCTCTCAGTGACAGCGAGGTGACTTTCATAAAACTGAGTATAATACTAGTCAGACAGACAGGCACGCAGACAAGCAGACATACATATAGATAGATAAATAGAAAGACAGACAGACAGACAGACAGACAGACAGACAGACAGACAGACAGACAGACAGACAGACAGACAGACAGACAGACAGACAGACAGACAGACAGACAGACAGACAGACAGACAGACAGACAGACAGACAGACAGACAGACAGACAGACAGACAGACAGACAGACAGACAGACAGACAGACAGACAGACAGACAGACAGACAGACAGATAGATAGATAGATAGACAGACAGACAGACAGATAGATAGATAGATAGATAGATAGATAGATAGATAGATAGATAGATAGATAGATAGATAGATAGATAGATAGATAGATAGATAGATAGATAGATAGATAGATAGATAGATAGATAGATAGATAGATAGATAGATAGATAGATAGAACAAACGAACAAACTTTATTTTCAAAGGGTTACAAATTAGGCACGCAGGTCTGTCTTACATTCGGCCCTTCCAAACTTCCATCTTTCACACAGCAGTTGTATTTCATCAATTAGGCATGTTATATTCATGTAATAATATGCATATTATATATATGAAGTCAAAAACAAAAGCATGGCTGGTAAAATATGTACGCACGCTCACGCGCGAACACACACACACACACACACACATACACACACAAGCCCAATGACTCACTTACACACAAAAATATAGGCACTAAGTACACACATACACCCACATACATACGAACATGCACACACACATACATACATACATACATACATACATACATACATACATACATACATACATACATACATACATACATACATACATACATACATACATACATACATACATACAT